AATTCGATCTCAGGGCTAGGAGGCCAAGACAGGAGTGGTGGCCTTCTGTGCTCAATTCATTGTTTGACTTTCCAATCTCTCCTTCACTAGGCTGTCGAGGGTGAGATAGTCGTAGTTGGTCGAAGAGAAGAAGCAGAAGTGCCCTAGGAATAAGAGAGAGTGGGGTGCCAGCTCTACAAGCCAGACTGTTCTTTTGTGTCTTCTGTAATCTCCCCTCTCACTCTACCCTTCCTGCTCTTAGGAGGAATATGGACGATTATGGACACACTCGGTAGTAGGGAAATACAATTGATTCTCATTAATTGTGGTAGTTATGTTCTATAAAGTCTCCAGGAACACTGAATTGGCCAATACTGAACCATCGCTCTTAGGGGAGAACACACACACACACACACACACACACACACCCCTCGCATAGATGATATGATCTTAAATCCTGAAAGCAAGTCTACTGGTAGATTCTATTGTCTTTATTTTATGAAAGAGAAAAAGAGCTTCCAAAGTGTTAACTGACTTGCCTGAGGCTGGACCACTGACGGGTGCCAGAATTGGGACTCCAAGCCCATCCATCTGGCCCCAGAGCCAGACCTTCTTACACCACACTGCCCTACCCTTATTGTCTCCACTTATTGTCGGACTATGGAAGAGCTAAAACAAGAAGGCTGAGCGTGTCCTTGTTCAACCTCAGCTGGGTGCTGGCAGGGTGACTTACATTTTTTTTCGGGCTCTGAGCGTGCCCGACGTGCGTGTGAAAAGGCCACAAGTATTGATTTCGGGTTACAAGCGGAGTTGTTAATTTTAGCGAGCGTACACATCGCAAATGCGGAAGCTGTGACTACTGAAGGTGCGCTGTAGAGTTTGTGAGGAGGTCCCTGTTAAAAGCAGAGTTGGGAGTGCCTGCAAACACCTTGTCTATATTTTATGGCTGGTTCCTTTGCACCCCTTCGAAGACTTCTCAGAGAATTCTTGACTGACCTTCAATAAAACGGGCCCTACTGTCAGGCACGGGCAATCACATCACCCTCTTTAATTTCCTCTATGTACTAGTCATGAGCCGAGAGTTTTATTTATTTCTTGACTTGTTCAGCCTGTTCCCCTATGTTTGTATGTAAACTCTGTGATAGTGTGGACTTTGTCTGTGCCCAGCGCTGGAGTGCTGCCTGATATGCTCTCGGAACCCCGTTGCTATCATTTGAATGAATAAATGATTAGATAGGTGAAGGAATCGATAGTTGTATGCGTGTCTTTCAAAGTGAGGGACGCGAGTGTTTTATAAGAATAGGCTTGAGCTTGCGTAACATGGGCCGTCCCGCTCGCAGCCTCAGATAAGGCCGAAAAATGGGATAATAACACCTGAAAGAAGACTTGAATCCTGCCAGGATGCAGATGGGATCTGATTTTAGAAGAATTACGTTAGAGATGAAGTCAGCACTAAGAACTAGGGACAAGGATGGGGGGGAATGATTCGTCATCCCTAATTATCTTCATCCCACTCTTGTCTTTAGGTGAGGGGCCAAGAAGGCGGACATAGAGGTCTATGAAAGAAGGTTTGAGGCTTGTTTCTTGCATCCTTAGGTTGGCTCTACTCAAAGCGCTTGCATTAGCCTTCGTGATTCTGAATCACAAGACGTGAATCAGAAATCGAAGGCTGAAAATCATAACCAAGAGCTGCCAGCTTCCAAACCAAACCTGCGAACTAGAAACACCTGAACACGCTGCAAGCGACCAATAAACCCATATTTGGGTTAATAGCCCATATAAGAAATGAAATCCAATCAAGCCATTAACTTCTTTTAAGTGACACATAAAACAGCAAAACTGTGGAAAACTTCTTTGTAGTGGGAGAATTTTAGAAACACAGGATAGCATTCAACTTCTTTTATTGTACCTTTTGGAGTAGAAGAATGCTAGAGTTACAAAAATTTGGAAGCTTCATCAAAGTATCAAAAGAGATTCAACTTTCCCGGTTTCAAAGGAACGTCAACTCTGTGTTTTTTGAAAGATCTAAGGAAAATACTTGGCCTAAAATGAATGGATCATGTTTCCAAATTTCTGAGAAATTATATTTTGGGCCAGTGGTGGTTGTGGTATCAGCTTTCCCAAAACATATTTGGCTCAACAAAGTACATTTCAGTCTACTTTTTTTGTAAAACAAATCTATCCATCATAAATATCAAATGGTCAGAATTTGGATTAAATCAAACCCCATGCTAGGATGGCAACTGGGACACTTTTCCTCCCGTGGAGTAACCCAAATCCCAATGATCTGGAGAGTGAAATGGATCCCAAACTAAATCATAGTCTATTAACAAAGCTACTTCTCAATGCAGATGATACTACTTGAGATTTCACAGTGTTAGCTGTTTCCTCAGATATTAGTTCATGTATTTACCACAATAACCCCACGTGGCTGAGACAGCAGATACCGTTCCCCTCATTTTACAAAATAGGGGAATTTTGAAATGGTTATCTTCCTGGACTTTTCCAACATCGACCTATGAGTAGAGCTAGTCCTCGACGCCACATTTCATGACACCTACCTCTAGAACTATTAGTGAGGTTGGATCCAGTTCAGTCAAAACCGGAATGTCATTAAGCACACAATATGTTAGCAACATCAAAACCTGAGGACTTCATGATACGGTCAATTGATTTTTGACAAAAGTGCTAGGACACTTCACTGAAGGAAAGAATAGTCTCTCCAGTAGATGGTGCTTAGGCAGCTGGCTATCCAGAAGTAAGAAGGCACAGTTGGACCCTGCTTGGAAGCATACGCAAAACCTAACCCAAAATGGTGCATAGACCTAAATGTAAGAGATAAAACTTCTAGAGGAAAACAGAGGCCTAACTCTTCATGACCTTGGATCGGGTTGCTTAGCTATGACACCAGAAGCACATATGACAATAGATAAATAAGTAAATTGGACTCTATCAAAATTGTCACTCTTGGGGCTCATTCTAGAAGATAACTTTTCTGTGGGTTTTTTTTTTTGAGCACAAGCAGGGGGGAGGGGCAGGGGGAGACACAGAATCCGAAGCAGGCTCCAGGCTCAAACTCATGAACCACGAGATCATGACCTGAGGTGAAGTCAGACGCTTAACCGACTGAGCCACTCAGGCACTCCTCTCAAAGATACTTTTCAAGTATAAGGTGCTACTTTCCAGAAATTTCACTCTCTCCATCATAATGTGCCCATGGTTTCAATATGATTCCTTCCTTTTCACAGTTCAGTTGTAGCCAGTTATTACATTCAGTTAGAGGTCAAAAGGGAAGACAAGAAATTTCTTGAGAGTAGTGGCATTTTGAGTAAATATGTCCATGGATAGCTGAGTTTTTATTTGGGAATCCTCAAGGGAAATTAGAAATGACAACATAAAAGTCGTGGTAAGAGAAACTGAGTCCAGTGGTGAACCTCCTTGAGATATTAGCCTGAGTTCCACATTCTGTACTTACCCATCAAAACGTCTTTTTTTTTTTTTTTTTTTTTTTTTAATGTCTATTTATTCTTGGGAGAGAGAGTGAGAGAGAGTGTGAGCCGGGGAGGGCCAGAGAGAGGGAGACACAGAATCCGAAGCAGGCTCCGGGCTCCGAGCTGTCAGCACAGAGCCCGACGCGGGGCTCGAACCACAAACCGTGAGAACATGACCTGAGCCGAAGTCAGACGCCTAACCGACTGAGCCGCCCCGGCGCCCCTCAAAACGTCTTTTAATTTTCTCTTTTGTTCATCACATTCAGCAAGCATGTTTGCATGCTAATCTGACATAGGACCTGATCTCGGGGTTTGCTGCAAATGGCCAGTGACCATTATCTTCTCAATAAGAAGATGTCTTGAGTAGTCTCTCTCCTGCGTCTCATAACAATCAGGAATAAAACGCAAGGAATCTTGGCCTCTGGAAACAGGACGTGATTCCTCTGAACAGCCATCAGTGGATATTTATCCTGAACTTCTGACCCTACTTCCAGTTTATCTCATTCATAGAGAATGGAATTACTCCAGTTAAATAAAGTATCCCAAATCAGAAGGGCTTAATGACTGGGCCATGGCTCCTCCCTGAGATATGGTAGAGTAATCAATGATGCCATTGTCATTCTCTGTAACACTGCAACTTGCGTGCTGGGTTAAAATCATAAAACTCAAGCATGCTATCTCCATTTCCCACAGCTGTGATTTTGGGGTCTCTGTTTGCGAATAAGCATTTCAGAATTGTCAAGAGGTGGAGGAAATAGCGTGTGCAGAGTATTTCCCAAGCCCAGTTGCCAAGAATGAGCTAATTGTCACCCTGCCTTGCATATAATGAGTCTTAAAAACTTCAAATAAGGGCCATTCTATAATGATCTACCTTTCCTGGAGAATGGCTTATGTTCATTGTAGAATCTTGGTCTTTCGGACGTATACCAGAAGTAAAATTTTAAATTATGTCATAAGGCGAATAAAATATCCAACCATCCTTTTTCTTTTTTGGTGTTTTCATAGTGACTAAATGCAAAGTTGATGTCTGTATTTAAAAGAAGAGTTAAGTAAATATGATATAGTCTTGCTACGTTGCATTTGGAAAATGTGTCCAATGGACGTTAATAGTAGTCTGTCCTCCATAAAGGAATAATATTCTTTCTTTTTAAACTTACTTTATATGTCTAATAGGCCAAAATTCCACTCTCTTTCAAGATATAGAAGAAGGAATTGCAAATATATCTCAAGTGTCAATTTCCAACTAATTGGTAATAGCTGTGTATATGTTGTGTTAAGAAAGATTCTGTGGCTGAGTATGGCTTAGCAGAGAAGACTGCTATCATTGGATAATAGTGTTTTCCAAGAGTGTAAGGAAGAGAGTAGACATGTAAGTCCTATATTTTCCATCTTTGTATAATTGGAAAAAGAGTTAACATTTAAAGTATCTTTTTAGTGATTACCAGAAAGAAACGTAGCAGTCTACATTAAAGAGCATTTAACAGAAAACAAAGGCCAAATTAAATGCTCACCATGCTCTCTGTCCTGTAGGTCAATGCGTCACGTCAAGAAGCCAAATTGATGGAGGAGTGTGATCTTCTCATTGAGATCATTCAACAAAGACGACAAATTATTGGAACCAAGATCAAAGAAGGGAAGGTATGATTTCTAGGGCAGAAGATAACCATATTCTCCTGGAGAGGATGTCATACTTCCATGCATTTCAATAGCTTAGGAAATATTGAATACCCCCCTTTTCTATATTTTCTATAACCCCCTCTTACGTCTTTAAGACGTAACTCAAAGTCCCTTGGTTGACCTTTTTTTTCTCTACCCCTTTCTTTGTATTATCATGCTCTCCTATGCACGTCTGTAATACAAGGATTGCATTACATTACCTCTACTCCATTACTGAACTCCAGAGGGCAGTGTGGAGCTCTGGTCTGTTACAGCCATTGTTTTCTTTTCTTTTTTTTTTTTTATTAAAAAAAAATTTTTTTTAACGTTTATTCATTATTGAGAGACAGACACAGGATGTGAGCAGGGGAGGGGGAGAGAGAGAGGGAGACACAGAATCTGAAGCAGGCTTCAGGCTCCGAGCTGTCAGCACAGAGCCCGACGCGGGGCTCGAACTCACGAACCGTGAGATCATGACCTGAGCCGAAGTCGGTCGCCCAACCGACGGAGCCACCCAGGCGCCCCAGCCATTGTTTTCATCTCTCTTCTCTATGAGAAGGTGGGTTCCACAGAGGAAGAGTTCATTTCCTATTTATCGCTATATCCTAGCAATTATCACAGTATTAAATAAATGTTTCAGTGACTCAGATTTTATATAGAGATGGCGAAGTGTTTTCCCATGCCTTTGAGCGAATTCAGACAGGTATAATTTTGTGGTGGCAAAATTCCTGTAGTTTCACTGTATCATATATCCCTTTGTGGATATATGAATAGTAATTCTTTTCTAATGTTTATATGTTTAAAATTCCTACGGTTTTTATTGAAATACTTAGGATCCATTTTATTTTACCCATTTCTCTGCCGCCCTCCAAAGGTGATTTTGTGGCTATTTTAAAAACGGAAACAGTCATTCAAGATTTAACTATTACTGCTCATAACCATACTTCCATGAAATATGTATAATTAAATTAAATTAGCAACTATTAAGTGGTGCACAGAGGTAACGATAGCCAATATATGTGTTCTCTGTTCTCTACAAAATTTCAAAGGTACGTTCAATATTGTATCATATTTTAGATTACTTTGTATAGGTTGAAAGCTATTTATACAGGTAAATTGTGACGGTGATCAGAGACGTCAAAGTGAAATCAAATCAAATAGTTCTTGAAGCTGTTTACAGTGAATTAACAAATTAATGTGAAACCAGTCCCTGGCCAAGAACTGACTCAGCTGTGTTGAGAAGCGACTTTTCCCCACATACACATTGTACAACTTAGCATCCGCCTGGAATCCTCGCGGGATGTATTTCCCCCTCCATTATCGTGCACCACCTCTCAAGGCTCGTAGTAGTTTCTTATTGCTGCTGTAACAAATTACTGCAGACTGGGTGGCTTAAAACACCCAGATTTGGTATCTGACCTTCTGGAGGTCAGGAGTCCAAAATCAGTGTCACTGGCCTTAAAGCCAAGGTTTTGGCTGTGCTGTTTCCTTCTGGAGGCTCTAGGGCAGAATCCATTCATTGCCATTTCTCGGCTCCTGGTTTCCTTATCACATCACTCTGTGCCCTTTGCTTCCCTCCTCAAGTTTCTTTCAGCCTCTCCTGGTTCTCTCTTCTAAGGACCTTTCTTTTTTTTTAATTTTTTTTTTCAACGTTTATTTATTTTTGGGACAGAGAGAGACAGAGCATGAACGGGGGAGGGGCAGAGAGAGAGGGAGACACAGAATCGGAAACAGGCTCCAGGCTCTGAGCCATCAGCCCAGAGCCTGACGCGGGGCTCGAACTCCCGGACCGCGAGATCGTGACCTGGCTGAAGTCAGACGCTTAACCGACTGCGCCACCCAGGCACCCCTAAGGACCTTTCTAATTACATTGGGATCACTCAGAACATCCAGGATAATACACCCTCTCTCAAAGGTCCCTGCCTTAATCACATGCGCAATGTCCCTGTGTCATGTAAGGTGCCATAGTTCAAAAACTTCTGGGATTAGGATAAGAGCATCTTTGGGGGCCCTTAATTCAGCCCGGCCAGCGTGCCTTTCCCTTGCTTAACTTCGCAGCATGACGACCTCTCTCATGAGCCGGATCAAGATAGTGAAGGGGTGCACGTGCAGTGACAAGAGCACATAGCAAAGTAGGAAAGCAAAGAGACATAGCTGGACCCAAAACAAGGGAAAGATCTCCACGGGCCAGAAATGGGACGAACCTGCAAAGCCGCGGCTGTGGCTAAAACACAGGCTAGTGGAGACTTGGTCTGGAAGAGACCGAAGCAGCTCCGCCTTCAAGTCCAATGGGTCAATAGTTCTTGATGCCTTGGGCTGAAGGGTACAAGTGCTCTGGATGGTATGGGGGACTGAAATCAGGCTCATTGGTTCATGCCACGGGCTGTATGAGGCTTCTCGCTTCCTTAAAAGACACCGAAAAGGATTCTTGCCAACCTCTACCTACCTAGGGTCAGAGTTTTTAGCAAACTTCAGGCCTGGGAGTCTGGAACAAGCCCGTTGTCAGGTTAGCACCTGGCTCTGCACTGTTTCTGACACCCACACAGAAGCCTCAGAGAGGCGGAGGTAATACCGGGTTCCCGAATGAGGACCCCCGAGGGTGAGGTGAGGGCGACTGACGGTAAACCCGCTGGGCGGGGTGGGCTAAGCAAGGAGGGCGAAACTCAAACCACAGTTCTGGAGCATATAAGGAAAGCTTGCATTTCTAAAAACACAGCCGACGAACTCAGCAAAGACATTACCTCACCCCAGGTGAAATTCATTTTATGGGAAAATATTAAAAAGATGTTTAAAGAAATAAATGAGGGCATAACTTTGATTTTAAAAGAGCAAAAACTTGTGAAACCACAAAAGGATAGAAAATAAGAGAGAAAGAAATAGGAAAATAACAAGTTAGCAGTTTGGGAGGTAAAAATGTAGAACCCTGAAACTACAAAGAAAACTTGGCCATGAGGGGAATTTGGAAACTGAGTTTTAGCCTCCCCGTAGGAGGGATATCCGCATGTAAGAAGATGAAACACGATCCATATTTCATGCCATATACAAAAATTAAATCTAATTGTTTTCAACATTTATTCCTTTTTTGAGAGACAGAGAGAGACAGTTGTGAGTGGGGAAAGCACAGAGAGAGGGGGAGACATAGAATCCGAAGCACGCTCCAGGCTCCAAGCAGTCAGCCCAGAGCCCGCCGCGGGGCTCGAACTCACGAACCGTGAGATCGTGACCTGAGCCGAAGTCGGACGCTTAACCGACTGAGTCATCCAGGCGACCCCCAAAATTAAATCTGAATGGATCATATACGTAACGTGAAAGACAACGGGACAGAACTTGGAGGTGCCTGGCTGCCTCAGTCGGAGAGGCAGATGTGACTCTTGATCTCGGGGTTGTGAGTTCAAGACTCACGTTGGGTGGAGAGATTACTTGACAACAAAAAAAAAAATCTTAAAAAAAAAAACTTCTAGAAGAAAGCATGGGAGGAAATCCTGGTGAACCTTGAGTTGGGCAAAGATTGGTTTATACAGAATGAGAAAAAAACATCAAAGAAATCTTTACAAATTAAACAGATCATTCTAAATTGTATTTCATCAAAAGTAAAAACTCTTTATAAAGCGCTGTCAAGAGAATGTAAAGACAAGCCACGGATTGGGGACAAATTTTTATCTAAATCAAAAAGTATTTGTACGCAGATATATAACAACTTCTAAAACCTCGTTAGTGAGGAAATAAACAATACCTTTGCCAAAGCGGATGAAAGATTTGAATAGGTACTCTACCGAGGGAGATGTGTGGGTGGCACATAAAAACATGAGGAGATGTTCAAAATCATTAGTCATTAAGGAAGTCGTCAAGAAAAGCCATCGGGGCAAATTAGAACCTCGGTGTGATACCCTTCTTACCTAGTAGAATGGTTAAAATTAAAAAGCTGGACCATAGCAAGTATTGTTGAGAATGTGGAGGAACTGGAACTCGCGCACGCTATTTGTAGGAATGAAACCGTGCATTTGGGAGAACTGACAGGTTTTTTTAATTTTTTTATATTTATTTATTTTTGAGAGAGAGACAGAGTGCAAGTGGGGGAGGGGCAGAGGCAGAGGGAGGCACAGAATCCGAAGCAGGTTCCAGGCTCTGAGTTGTCA